TTCTGCAGCAATGTGGGATCTCAGAGTTCTGGGCACCGGAACTTACTAATTCTCAGTTTCTTTCTCAATAAGAAATAGCACCTCTTGGGCCATGTTTCTTTAAGAAACATGAATTGATTTATGTGGCCATGTCAGCCCTGGTGTTGAAGAGAACATGCATTCCAGAATAGAGAATGATCTTAAGTTCGCACTTAAGACAGTATCTGACATTTTTCCCTGATCTGCAATTTGTTAAGAGTGATGGATTAATCTTTTCTGAAAGAGTTTTTGATAACCTAGACACAGAAATGTAAATATACTCTTGAATTTCCCCTTTCATATGAATTTGAAAACAGATAACCTTTCAAAAAAACCTTGTTGAAGGAAGACCTTAGTCTAGTTTACAGTATTGGGCTGTTTGCTCCTTCAAAAAAAAATCCAGTTGCTTTTTTCCCTAGAACTAACATTTTTAGAGAAAAAACCCTAAGATTTTGGTGTGCTTTAGTGAAATGTTGCTAGGTTAAACTTAGTTTTGGTTAAAATAAAGTGACAGGAAATCTAAATCAAAATACCTTATTTTTTCAAATGTTCATCTTTGATGATTTTCTCACTCAAAGTGCCATATGAAAACCTTATTATTGAAACAGAATCCAGTAAGCCAAACAAAACAAAAAGAACAAAATAATATAGTATAAAAAATGTGTGTGATTTAGGAAATAAGAGATGGCTTCTTTCTTAATCTTCAGATTCAAGCTTAGCTATGGTCAAGGTGACAAATTATTTCTGCTTGCAAAAATGATATTTTCAGTACTTGTCGGCTTTAAAAGATGATCTTGCTTTATAGGCTGCCCCCATGTGTTCTAATGACATCAGTGTTATCCAAATGTGCATCAGAATCTCTTTTTCCCTCTGTTTGAAATAAAGTGTGGATTTTCAGTCAATACAAGAAAGAAAACCTAACTTGAAGCTAGAACTTTGTGGATGACCTAGCTCTGCTATAAACTATTGTGTGGATTTTTAAATCTAATGATTTTCTTCATTTAATTACCTCCTGCTTGACGTTTTTCAACTAGGAAGTGGAGATAATTATATCTGTCATAATTAACTCACAGGGATGTGATGATCAAATAATTTCGTATATGCAATAACACTTGGTAAAATATAAACCTTACTATACACACAGTAGTTTTATTGATATAAGTGAGACTGACTTTCCTTCTGTAAAGGGGTAAGTACTGTATTGTAGAACAGTGTACTACGGCAATAGAACACACTGGATGAGAGTCCTTGAATTCATTTTTATTTCATAATGCCTCATTAGCAAATTAAATAAACTTTTTTAAAACAGATGACTAAAGAAACTCTACCAAAACTTTCAGATCAAAAAAAAATTTGCCTTTGTGAGTGCAAACTGGTGCAGCCACTATGGAAAACAGTATGGAGATTCCTCAAAAAATCAAGGATAGAACTACCATATGATCCAGCTATTCCACTGCTGGGTATTTATCCAAAGAACTTGAAAACACCAATTTGTAAAGGTACATGCACCCCTGTGTTCATTGCAGCGTTATTCACAATAGCCAAGACTTGGAAGCAACCTAAGTGCCCATCAAGGGACGAATGGATAAAGAAGCTGTGGTATATACACACAATAGAATACTACTCAGCCATAAGAAACGATGAAATCCAGGCATTAACGTGGATGGACATTGAAGGTATTATGCAAAGTGAAATAAGTCAGAAGGAGAAGGTCAAATACCATATGATTTCCTTCATTAAGTAGTAGATAATAACAACAATAAACAAACACATAGAGACAGAGATTGGATTGGTGGTTACCAGAGGGGAAGGGGGGAGGGAGGAGGGTGAAAGGGATAATTAGGTACATGTGTGTGGTGATGGGTTGTAATTAGTATTTGGGTGGTGAACATGATGTAATCTATGCAGAAATAGAAGTATAATGATGTACACCTGAAATTTTTACAATGTTATAAACCTATGTTACTGCAATAAACAAAAAATTAAAAAAAAAATAATGAGCCATAAAAAAAAAATAAAAACAATTTCCCTTTTTTTTTTTGTTTTTTTCCTTGGACTGGACTATTAGCCAGGACACACCTGGGTTCTGGGTCTATAATCAAACTAACATGGGAAACTTTCATTTCGCCACAGCTCAGTTTCCTTATTGAAGACATTTTCCAGCTTTGATAACCAGAGATTTTAAGAAATATGTAATGTAATCCACATAACTTATCGTACATTTAAAAATGAAAATATTCAGAGTAAAAATTAATTGGAGCTTTCACAGATAAGGTGGTGAAGTATAATAACTCAAAGAACTGTAAACGATTCCTTTCTTAAAAAACATGCTTCAAAGTTTCTAAAGTATATGAATCAAATACAATTTTTAGATCAATCTTCATAGAATATTGCTTGATTAAAATTTCAGTCATTTATATCTTTGATTCACTGAAAATTTTAAGGTCTAAAAGCCAAGACAAAAAATATATTCGATAATTAACTTGATATATTACTAAAACATTTTTTCTCTGTCCAATTGTTAAACAGAATGTCTTAAATTGTCTTATAATTCTTAAGAAAAGCAGTGATTTATAATCAACTTAGTTTTATTAGATACTGAAAACATTTCAGATTTAGACAACACAAGTATTGATTGATAACAATTTGATTTTTCTTGATCATTGCCATTTACCTGAAAAAGCTTGTGTAGAGTATCCGGTCATCAATGCTTTGAATTCAAAGTTTTGTGGACAAGTGGTATGACTAATATAATATTTCTACACACTGTTTTTTAATTCTAGTTTGTTTTTTACATATCAATACCTATGACTTTCAGTTAAATATTATGGAAAAGAAATTATGTTTCTTGTATTCAATGAAATAGAGGATCAAATTAACTCACCTATTGGAGTTAAGTGAGTATTTTTTATATGAATAAGGATGCTAGTAAAATAGCTGAATTACACACTGATTTGTGGAAAATGTGATGTGTTGTGGTGAAGAAACAGTAATATTCAAAGGTTTAATTTGCTGCAGCTGATGTTAAATCCCTATTAATATTTTTATAGGCTACTACAAGACATAGAGCAGTATCCTTGCAGTTGGTTTGCTCCTTAAAAGATCATTTTACAGTATTGCAATAGAAATAATTTTGAGGAATTGTTGGCAAAATGCATTTCCAATATTTTAGAAAATGTCCCCGCTTTTGAATAGTAATATAATCCTGATTCAGGCACAGCAGTATTGATCTGCAAAACTGAATTTAAAGCAAGCAATCTCTTATCAAAAGTGTCTCTATTGGAATGTTGGAACCACACAGTTCACCATTTCAATTCTAATGATCATAGGCAGTAGAACAGATGGTGTACAAAGTGAACCCCCAGTTTGCTTGACTTTCAAAATACCTCATACTTTTACCTGAAAATCAGTGGCAGTATTTTTTTGAAGTTTAAAAGTATCTTCCTGCGTTTCTTACTGTCTTTTTCATGCATTAGGGCACAATGGAAAGACTTGGTAGTAGTTTGACCCTGTTTGGTTCCAGGGTTAGAGATTTTTCACTGAAGAGCAGCTTCAGGTCATGCATAGAAACCACCGCGGGCCTTTTCAGAGCCCTTTGCTTCCCCTCCAGCGAAAGGATGCTTGAAAAGGACAAGTCTGTGGAGTTAGGAAAGCTCTATTTTACTACAGAATATAAATACCTCGTCTCTAGATGGCAGCCTTCAACGCGTTTGCAAAGCAGTCTCTGTCCTCCTCTGCCACCTCCACTCCACTCCCACGCCCATCTCGGCTACTTGGCAATATAGTATCAGCTACATGCGTGCCACAGCCTGTGGATCCCGGGTTTTGCTGCTCTCCAAGAACGCAGGCTTAAAATGTTTATTCCAGTGCCTGATATTCTCGGCTGGAAGCTGCCTAGATGCTTTGCTTGGGGAAAAGGGGAAGTAAGTGATGACAAGAAGAGCAACACTAAGCCCCTCGCCCAGGAGGAGGTGGGGCTGTGCGGGCAGCAGGGAGACACCTGCACCCAGCGAGCGGCGGCATCCTCTGCTCTCGGTGTGGACGCTCCTAGCCGAGAACAAAGAGCGCAAAAGCCATCTGCCCAGCTGGCGGAACACAACCCTCGCTACAGCCTCAATTTATCCCTGAGGTTTATGGGGGAAGAAATATAAAAATCTCAGTTTCTCAGATTCACAAAAGACTGAGTTGGAAGAAGTGCGGAACAGGGGCAAAGGGAAAGAAGGAGACGCAAACCAGAGAAAACACGTTGCTCCCTCCTGGCAGTGTCTAAGGTGGCGTCCCTTACCTACCCCGCGTGGGGACTCTGGAGCTCTGCAGGAGTCAGGGAACGCGCACAGCTGGAGATGTTAAGGAGGAATTTGCAATTGGCAAGGGATGTGGTGGCAACAAAGGCGGGTGGGAGTGAAGCGGACCGTGGTCTTTTCCGTCCTGCGTCTCAGTCCGGCACAGTCTTAGGTGTGGGTCAGGGGTTATGGGCAATCTCCCCAACCCGCCACTTCTACCTCCCCACCCCAGCAACCGCGCACACTTGCCCAGGTCAAGATGGACGGGATGCAGAGGTACTTCGCCCTAGTCTTGCTCCTTCCTATTTTCATCCCTACCTTGGAACCCCTCTCCCCCTAAGGCGCGAAGGCTCTCTAGGCTGCGTCCACGAAAACTCCGGCTTCCGGCTTCCCCCTGGCACAGCGGAGCCCAGCCCCCGGCCCTAGAGGCGGGCACGAGCTGTCCCCCACGCTGTGCCGCTCCGGCGCGCAGGCAGCACCCAGTATCACGCCCTGTGGGGCAGGTGACAGGGACCTCGATCGCTCAAGAGCTCCTCGCACAGCCGGGCCGGACTTTATTCCAAGTGCAGAGTCCTCCGTCTCCTCCATGGGAGCCCCGCGCAGACCGAGGCGCCTCCAGGGCAAGTTCCTGACCGCTCCGTGAGCGCAAAACAGAGTTTGAAGGGCATTAGGTTGGGCAAAGGGGGCAGCAGGTCTTACCTTGGTACGGAGAGCAGGGAGTTGCCATCCATCGTCGATCGGCGCGTAGAGAAGAAAGGCGGGAAGTGCGGGCGAAGGACGAGAAGTCTGTGGTGCGAGGACCCGGCTCTTGAAGCGCAGGCACGGACGCGCGCGGGGACAGAGGCGCGCAGGCTGGGACCGCCGCGGTGCTGTTGGAGACACGCTCCTCCCCGGCCAGGAAGCGCTGCGCGCTGCGAGCACTCGGTGGTCGCCTCCGGTCGCCCCTCTGGTCTTGCAAGATCGTTTGGCCAAAGCTCCAACCCTTCTGCCCAGCTCCTGTTCTCCTCCACATTTGCTGGAGGCTCCCTCTGAGCTTTCCCTTCCCGCTCTCCGTGCCCAGCGGCGGTGACTCCGACAGAATTTCTCTCTCTCCGCCCTCCGGTCCAGTCCCCTCCCCTCTCTCCTTCTCTCTCCGGTACAGCAAGTCTGAACCCTAAAGTTGTTGGTCCACTTTTCCACATTAACGCTCTATTCCTGGCAATGCCCACATTCCCCACTGGTCGCGCACCCTTCCCTTGGCTGCCTCTCTAGATTTTATTCTTGTGTCTCTCCTACCATGTAATGGTTGATCACTCAGAACAATGCTCTCTTTGATCTTCTAACTACTTTCTCTTTACTTGGATTTTCTTTCCTGTTTTTGATTCTCGAAATTCTTCATCTAACTCATTTTCCTTAACTGTGACTCACTCATTCCTAGTCTGTTAGATGCCTGTGTACACATAGAAAGCTCAAAACCTGTCACAGGGGTCATCCATCAGAGGCCAGCACCCAGGCCCTGGAAGGAAGGGCTCTCACAAAAATTCCAAGCGCCTGCTTCAGTATTTCCTTGAGCAAAAATGACAGTTGTTTTAAGAAGAAAGACATTGATAATAGCAAATGACTGTTAAGATGAGCGTGCTTTTGACTCTGATCCTTTTTTATTAAGAAAAGTTTTTTTGAAAAGAAAACCATACCACTTCCACAAACGGGATGATGGAGTACATGCACTTTGCCCCATTCCTCCTGGGAGACACAACTAAAACCACTGGAGGTTATGAAACAAGGCCAGGAAGACCGAAGGTAGACAGAAGAAGGCATAAAAGTTGGGGACTTTGGGACTCAAGGAATGACATGGTGGTGAGTTTCTGGGTTTTCTTTTGCCTCATATATCCCAGACTCGGAGCTGAAGAAGTCGGCAAGCAGGAAATGTCAACGAGTGCGGACAGAAAAAGCCTCCTCTCTCTAGCCAGAGGGCCAGGAAAGGGGCAGCCTAGCAAGACAGAAAATTTGTGGACAGTAATGGCAGCATTCTGGCAGAATACCAAATAAAAAATTCTGGGGCCCCACCTGGCCCATACCATCAAAGGTCAAGTAGGGAACCTAGATTCTACAATTTCTAGACTCTAAGGGGGCACTCCTACTCCCCGGGCCAGGTGGTGTCAGAGAAGGCTGAGTAGGGAGCCAGGACTCTCATCCCTGCCAGACAGTAGCAGCCCTGCCTCCCTACCTTGGTGTCAATGAAGCCTGTACTCTCATATCACATAACAGCAATGTGTCCTTCTCCCACTTTGCACTGGGGGAGTGTAAGAAGAGGCAGAGTGGAGAGTCAGAGCATTCATCACTGCCCAATAGTAATGAGGCCACATGGGAAGTAATAACCAGACACTCCCAATAGTCCCAGTGATGGAGGTTTCAAAGGAAACCTAGTGAGGAGGCTGAACCCTCATCTATCCTTAGCAGTAAGGAGGGCACCATTCTCCCTCAGGTATCAAAGGAAGTCAAGAGAGGGGCATAGATTTCTATCCCCTGACAGTAAGGAGGCAGCACCACCACCCTACCCACCCCTCCTTGCCTGGCAGAAGCAGTGTCAAGAGAAACCAGCTAAAAACATTTAAATGAGATTCAGAGTCTCCTAACATCATACCCAAAATGTGTAGACTTTAGTAGAAAATTACTCATCATACCAAGAACCAGGGAGATTTCAAACTGAATGAAATAAAAAAATCAAGAGATGCTAACACTGAGATGATAGAGATGTTACAATTATTTGACAAAGAATTTAAAGTAGCTATAATAAAAATGTTTCAATGAGCAATTACAAACATACTTGAAACAACTGAAGAAATAGAAAGTCAGCAAAAAAAAGTCATAGCTAGTAAATAAAATGCATAAAGAAAAACCAAATGGAAATATTAGAACTGAAAAACACAGTAATCAATATAAAACACGAATTGGATGATTTCACATCATTATAAAGTCGACAGAGGAGAAAAATCAGTGAACTGGAAGAGAGAATAATGTAAATTATCCAATCTGAACAAAAGAGAGAAAAATAGCCAAGAAAGAAAGGAAAAAAGGAAGAAAGAAAGAGAAAGAGAGAAAGAAAGAGAGAAAGGAAAGGAAAGGAAGAAAGAAAGGAGGAAAGGAGGAAAAAGAACAGAGCCTCTGGAACGTGTGAAGAAAAATGGCTGAAAAATCCCCAAATTTGGCAAAAAACGTAAAGCTGTAGCTTCAAGAAACGAAGCAAAATCCAAACATGATAAACATAAAGAAATCCACACAAAGACACATCATAGTCAAACTTCTGAAAATTAAATACAAAGACAAAATACTGAAAGCAGTCATAGAGAAACATCACATTACCCATAGGAGAAAACACTTCAAATAACAGTGGATTTCTCTTCAGAAACTATGGAGGCCAGAAGTAAGTGACACAACATTTTTAAAGTGCCGAGGAGAAGAACGATCAACACAGAATCCATTATCCAGTGAAAATATTCCTCAGAGATGAAGGTGAAATCAAGACATTCTCAGACGAAGGAAAACTAAGAGAATTTGTCACCAATAGACCTACCTTAAAAGAATGGCTAGAGGAGGTTCTTTAAACAGAAAGGAAACTATAAGGAAAGAATCTTGGAACATCAGGAAGGAAGAATACCATAAGCAGTAATATGAAATACAATAGGATTTTTTTCTTCTCTTGAATTTTCTAAATTACATTTGACAGTTAAAGCAAAATTTATAACATTGTCTGGTGTGCTTCTAAATGTATGTAGAGGAAACATTTAAGACAATTATATTATAACGGCAGAGATAAGAGAGCATAAGAGAGGTACAGTTTCTACACCTTGCTCAAACTGGTAAAATGACAACCCCAGTAGACTATGATAAGTTAGGTGTATATAATAAAATATGTAGAGAAATCACTAAAAAAGCTATACAAGTAGATATGCTCAAAATATTATAGATAAATAAATTTGAAATTAAAAAATGTTAAGTAACCACAGTAAGGCAGGAAAAAGAAAACAAAAACAACAAAGAGAGAAAACAAATAAAAAGCATAAAATGTTAGTTTTAAGCACTATTATACCAATGATTACATTAAATGTAAATGGTCTAAATACACCAATTAAATGACAAAAATTGGCAGAGTGGATTAAAAACATGACCTAATTATATGCTGTCTATAAGAAATTTATTTCAAATATAACTATATAAGAAGATTGAAAGGAGAACTGTGGAAAAAGATATATCATGCAAATATTCAAAAGAAGGCCTGAGTGGCTATATTTATATCAGATACAGTAGGTCTCAGAGCAAAGAAAATTACCAGAGACAGAGAGGGAGATTATATAATGATAAAACGTTCAATTAACCAAGAAGACATAGCAACCCTAAATGTGTACATGCCAAACAGCAGAACTGCAAAACGTATGTTACAACAAGCTAAAAGAACAGAATGGAGAAATGGAAAAATACACAATTATAGTTGCAGACTTTAACCACTCTTTCTCGACAATTGATAAAACAACCAGACAGAAAATCATCAAGGATATAGAAAGACTTAACAACACCATAAACCAAAATAGGATCTAGTAGACATTTGTAGAACACTTCACCTAAAAACAGCAGAATGTATGTTTTTTCCGGTGTCCTTATACCAAGATAGACCGTATCCTGGAGCACAAAGCAAATCTCAACAAACTTAAAAGAATTGAAATCACATACATTTTGTTCCCTGAAAACAGTGGAGACAAAAGACAAATCAAGAACAGAAAGATTAGAAGAAAATATCCAAACTCTTGAAAATTAAACAACATACTTATAAAAAATCCATGGGTCAAAGAAGAAGTCTCAAATAAAGTTAAAAAAAAAATACACTGAATTCAATGTAGATGAAAATACAACATATCAAAATTTGTGGGACAGAATTAACCAGTCCTGATGGGGAGATTTAACATACTAAATGTATATATTAGAAAAGTGGAAAATTCTCAAATCAATAATCTAAGCTTTCACCTGAAGCACTTAGCAAAAAGAAGAGAAGAATAAACCTAGATCAAAAAAAGAATGGAAATAATAAAATTAGAGCAGAAATCAATCAAATTGAAACAGGAAAACAACTGAAAAAAAATCAATGAAACAAAGAATTTCATCTTTGAAAAGATCGATAAAATTGACAAACTTGAACAAGACGGACAAAAAACTGAGAAGGGGCAAGTTACCAATATCAGTCATGAAATAGAGAATATCACCACAGATCCTGAAGTCATCAAAAGATTAATAAGGGAATACTGTGAACAACACTGCACACATAAATTTGATAGGTTTGATGCCATGGACCAATTCCTTGAAAAACACAAACTATTTGTTATGGGTTGAATTGTAACCTTCTGAAAGATATGTTGAAGTCTCAACCCCTAGTACTTCAGAATGTGAATTTATTAGGAAATAGGGTCCTTCCTGATTTAAGCAATTTAAGATGAGGTCATTGGGATGGGCCCTATTCCAATATGACTGATGTCCTAATAAAAAGAGGACATTTGGATACAGACACACATAGACTGAAGATGATGTGAACAGATACAGGGAGAATGACATGTGATAATGGAAGCAGAGATTGGAATTAAACTGCCACAAACCAAGGAACATGGAAAGCTGGAAAGTCAAGGAAGGATCCTTTTTCTACAGGTTTCAGAGGGAGCATGTCCTGCTGACACCTTAATTTTGAACTTCCAGATTCCAGAACTGGAAGACAATAAAGTTTTGTTGTTCTAAGCCACCCAGTTTGTGATATTTTGTTTTAAGGCCCTAGGAAACTATTATACTACCTACACTGATCCACTATGAAACAAGTCATTTGAATACCCCTATAAATATTAAGGAAATTGAATTTGTAATAAAAGAAAACCCTCCCTAAAAAAATCTCCAGGCCCAGATGATTTCACTGGAGAATTCAATACAACTAAAAAAAAAAAAAAAATTAGCATCAATT